ATAAAGCTGCGAAGAAAAGGTCTTTGGAGAATGAGGAAATGAGTCAAATTCACTCTTAATGAACTCTAGCCACTTGAGTACAGAAAGGTAGATCTGCCCCATTATTTGTCAGATGTTTAATTCACTTAAAAATTAATTGAAAATCAAGGCAAAAGACACCCTTTATGCCTTGAGTTTTAGCCTGTGCTTCAGACTGAAACAAATACTCCATCATAATTCAGCTGAAACCACAGTTTCTGTGTAGTGGCCAGAATTAGTTGTAAATCAGACCAACTTCATGAACCTTAGTGGATGAAAAATTGGGACCAAATCCAGGCTTTGAAATTTTGAATACTGTTATAGGTATGTAGCTCTACAAGAGTCACTGAGATGACTCATTAATAAAATTGCCCATGCAATTGAGTTCTGTGATAAGGAATCTGGAGAATTTCCAAAAATACTCAGAAGAAACAAGTGAAAAGCATTGAAAATAGGTCCTTTCTCCCCTCTCTCTAGCCACAGTGATTTTTCTTTGCATCATAGTCCTAGGCCATTTGTAAGTGGTAATCTAGCACAGCAGATGATAGACTGGCCTTTCACCAGGCTAGCCATACATGCTTTTCTCCTCTAGCCTTTTAATTATACTGTACCTTTACCCCTCTATCACAAACATATGACACCTCATCCACCATCTCATTTAACACCTTTGCTTTTTCCAGAATTTAATGCTAGCTGTCTGGAAGCAGGTGTCTGTATATGGGCAGCTATTTAAATGGAAGAGATGAAAACTAGTACAAAAATTGTGAAGCAGATAAGGACCTGCAAAAGGAAGAGGGCTTATATTGAAAAGAGATCAGTTCATAACATGGAATTTGCTAGATTCTTTAAGAATCAGTCTTATTATTTCAGTATCTCTTAATAATTTCACTAGTAATCTTAGGAAAAAAGAAAATGTGAAATTTACTGTTGATTCCCAACCTGTCAACAGCACACACAAGATATTGGAGCCAAGAAATGGCGTTATATTATAGGATTACAAAACTCAAGATTATGCACTAGAGCCTAAGAAAAACTCTTGGTATAATCTGGTAGTTTGAGAGTCAAAAGTTGTACAGGAGGAGAAAAATTTATTGTTAGTATTGAGCACAGGCCAAGCTGTAAGCTATCAACATAGGAAAGTCATGAAAGAAATCAGGGCCAATCCCATCTTTATCAGTGTTTAAATGGAGATGAAAGACTTAATGCTATTATGCACATTACTAGTAAGAGTTTACTAGAATGCCATTTATAAAACTCTGTCCATCAGTGTTTAAGACAGACTAATTCAAACTGTAATAGGTCATAGATGTCATCAGGGAAATACAGAACTTGTTTTATGAAAAGAGATTAAAAGAGGATCTGGTTCAATTAAATAAAAACTGAGTGTTGTATATAAATACATCAAATGGTGAACCGAAGAGAATAACACTTAAGAGCATTATTGAGAGAGAAACAAATAAGACAATTTCTAATCAGAGGAGTGATGCTCAGGCACTGCCTTCAGTAGGAACAGTGAAACTGATTTTAAGATGAACCACTGGACTACAGAAGATATTAGATAATGTAGTCTGCTGAAAAGCAAAGAGTTTTGGATTGGTGATTCAGTGGTTTTACTCGAGTCCCATGCTTTTTTTACTTGTTCCTGCTAAAACTGATGTACTCATGTGAAACTCTCGACTCTGACAGTGATTTTTTTTGCAATAAAAACTATATAGTACAGTTCCATCTAATATTATGTAATTATGTTGGAACACCAGTACTAAGTGCAATGGAGTAATATGGTGGCTATAGCCAGAAGCAGTCAGCAAACAATGAAGAAAATTAAATCCACATGAAAAACAGAAACTAGAATTAAAAGAAAACTTAATTTCATCAGAATATTAATCAAGGACACATGCTTTTAAAAACAAAATCAGAAACAGCTCTCTCTGACAAATCTCTGTCAAATTTAATTGGCCTGTGACAAATATTGGGATGACTTTATATGCTTAATTTTAAAAGTTCAAAATCAGCTGTATGTGTTCTTATCCTACAGTAAGAATGTCTTACAATACATGGGAACCCTTAGAATTCACAAATGTGAAGAAAATGTGAAAATTTTGAAAAAGAAAGCAATTAATATTTTTCTCTGCAGAAGGCAAATAAATATTATTTAAAAAAGAAAATTCAGCTGTAATTCTCAAGTGTTATTGTGCCAAATGTGTAGTCTAAATGCAAGCATTCATGTATTAAACGTAGAGGTTTTAGTCCTGCTGTAAGTGCAAACCACAATGCAACCTCAGCTGTGGAGTTACAAGTAATTACTCTTTTATATACAAGTAACACAAAATCTACAGCATAATGGGAAAGGAAAAATAACAATGTGTCATGTAAATGAAATTTTCCCACAAAAGCGCTCTACCTTTTCATTTTATTTTCTTCTTCCTCCTTACATAGCTTTAATCCTCATTGCCTATGATTATCTAACTAAGGGTTTGTGACAATTTGGGGGATCTCTCTATGTAAAGCTTATGAATTCTGTTTGATACCTGGGAATATCTATATATAGCTGTGTCAGGTCGAAAATTCTTTGCTAATCTAAAATCCACAAGAGGTGGCAGGAGAAATTTTTGCTCCTGGCACACAATCAATAAAGAATTGTTAAACCTTCATAATATCCTAGTCAAATACAGTCCCTTGAAGCATGATACTGCTACCAGGTAGGCAAACCTGGTTTTATGGATGAGGTGAGGAGGTAATAAATAGGTGATAAATCATCTGTTCTACACAAATTTCATCACCTGATAAGGGGGCTACCTGACAAAGATAAGGTGGCTGTAAGAGCAAGTGTGTCTTGCTCAGTGTTGTAGACTAAGTACATCTGGTAGTAAGTATTGGAGGGGGATGGTGGACTTGCAGGAGTTCTACGTATATTTGTGTCGTGGTTTAACCTCAGTCAGCAACTGAGCACCACACAGCCGCTTGCTCAGTGTCCCCCCCCTGCCG